TGGGAGAACAGTAAGTTGGAGAGTCCAGAGGAATGCAGCACTGGTACCATTACAATGGGTGACTGCAAAACCCTATTCTGAAAAGCAAACCATTCCTGATTCAGTCAAACGAAGGAGTGGCAGGAATGGCCAACAATCCCTTTCTGATTTACTCATGTTAGTCTATGAGTGTACAGTCCAGTGCAAACATATTTATGATGAAAAACACTGCGAGGAATCAGGGAGGGCAGTAGGGTGTGGGGGGACGGTGAAAGCAGAAGGAATGAAACAACAGGGTGAGAACTGGAGAAGTGAAGACACGTTGAAATCATGTGCAATGGATAATGGTTGACAAGGCCATGCAATAACCAGCAGTGGTGACTACCAAACACCCTTTGTCAAAAAGCCAGGTAAGGAAAGAAGTCAGGTGCAGGAGAGTAGGACAGAATGGAGGAATACCATGATGAGAAGACCAATGGTGATAGACATACCACTTACGTTGGTAAACTGACATAGAGGAAGGGAGAACAAAATGGCAACTCATAGAAGTAACTTGTGAGGAAAGTCCGTCCCATTTGGCAAGGGAATGGACAAAAGCCATATTTGAAGACAAAGTGCTGAAATGGAAGAACATAGCGTGCCTGATTGAGGTTGTCTGATGAGGGTGGGTGAAAGGGGAAGAGGAGGTGCCAATAGGAACAGGCATAGAAGTGAAAACTACAGCTGCGATGGCTAAAGTGGTGCCACCAAGAGGACACAAGGAAGAAGATAGATGGAGGAATAGGCATAGATGTAAAGGCTGTTCCAAATCCTGACTGAATGCATCGACAGCTACAGCTAAAGGATGTGGAATTATATATCATAACCTGTCAATTCAAGTGAGTGGCAAAAGTATCCAGTTCTGAAGTACCCCACTGGGAACACAGTCAGCCAAACATCTGTGGGTCTTGGGATCACTCTGTGAAGAGAATCTTTTCAGGGCTTGATAAATGATCTATGACCAGATTCAGGCACCAAGTACATGACAAAACAACAAATAAATGTGATTGCTGTGGGCCCAAAACAATAGGTCCAACATGTGGAAACAATGAGGCCTAACCCAATTGCCCCCTTGCCAAGTGATGCATCGGATAACCGTTGAGTTGTCAGAATGCATCATAACTGACCTGTTCCAAAGAGACAGAAAGAAGTGAACCAATACCCAACAGACTAAGGGCCCAAAATCTCCTACATGTCCAGATATGCACCCTTACCCAAAAGAGAAGTAAGCATAAAAAGGTGCAACTCCAGATGAGGGGGAGGAAGAGGAACATCGACTATCGTGTTGTTTCTGTTTAACCATCACACAAAGTCCACTTGAAGGGAAGGAAGGAGATGGATAGAGGCATCCAAGGGATCCCGAATGAGGTTCCACTGATCTTGTAAAGCCCACTGAATAGGTTGCATGTGGGCTTGAACTGAGGGGAATAAGGGCCTCCAAAGAAGCCCACATCCCCAAAAGAGGTAGAACCTCTTTTCTAATTGGAAAAGAAGAGGAGGAAACAGTCCAAACTAGAATCTTCATAGATCACAGGTGAAGGGGAGAAGGATGGGCCTGTGTGAAACAAAGTATTGAGTGGGGGAAGAGGAAGAACTAATCCACCTTGACCAACCTACCCATGCAGCCTCTTGAAGAAGAAACTGAGTGTGAAGGGAAGAGTTAGCATGTGAAACTGTCAATGAATGACCTGATAGTTATCCTTGGAGACCCATGTAACAGGTTCAGGAGAAGATTGAGACAACGTTTGTTTGGATTGAGTTTATATTTAAAAACATGCCTCGCTTATAGTGTTAGATATGTATTGTGAAACTTCCACCTATTCTACAAAGTTGTAGAAGTTTCTCGAGAGTAAGAATCAACAATATATCTATATATGTAAACATTTAAATATAGCTCAGTATTGTTATGTAATCTGAATTTTCTAGAAAAGCTTCCCACCTCTATAAATACAACCAATGCGATGTGCCAAAGAGAGTGTCTATTAGTAGCTCACTACAATCAGTGTGCTATAAACTTCGAAGGCTATAACTGTGTTTGTTGTAACGCTTATCAATCGGAAAGCTTCAGATATTTTGCCAGGAATCTTTACAAAGTTTGAACATTACAAACTATTTAATTTCGGTGGATTCTCATCGGACATTAGTTTTTTACGAAAACATTATATAAATTCATCGTGGAGAGCTCAGCGTGTGTGGCAGGTAAAAACCTAATGTGAAGACTAAAAAGCTAGCTAGATTCCCATTAAGTGAAATATATCTCCGTCAACTTGTAATCAACTTGCTCATCGTGAACCCTCGATAATATATGAAGAAAGTTCGAAACTAGAAAGAAGACCTTATATTGTTTGTAAGTTTGTGAAACTTTTGTTTATAAATCATTGTTTGTAGTAACTATTTGTAATAATTGTTATTGTAAATTGTACTGTGTGTATATTAAAACATATTTGTGTTAAAAACGAAAACGGCGTATCAATCTTGTTGGCAATGATCGTAAATTGATTAATATATCGACATATACTTAAATACTAAATCCAAAGTACAATTTAACTACTACATTTAAATTATTTAACTCAGCTTCAGACTATTCAAAATTCTAAAACGTAACAGGAACAGCAGTGGTAATAGTTGCAGC